CTCTCTCTCTCTCACACACACATACTCACACACACACACACACACACTCTCATCAACAATAGACCATTATCATTGTTGATGACAAGTGGTATTGTCCTTCTGTGTCGAAAGGTACGCTATGCTTTGTGGGTCAATACAAGTGTTTCACAATAAAGTACCACGTACCTTTTGACTATGAAATATTCGTAAAATATCTTATTTTTTTGCACTTATGCACATCATATAGCCTATAGGCTGAACCCAGACTACTCCACTTTTGTATTCCTTACCAAAGCCAACTTCATCCATAAATCACATACATGTAGGGACTTTGTTGGGAATGTGTTGGGAATGTGTTGGGTCCTACAAGGGATTGTATTGGGATGTGTAGGGAATGTTTCAGAACTGTGTTGGGACCTGTTCATTATGTGATGGGCGAGGGTGAACAGATTGGCAGACAGTTGGACCCTACAGTAATAGTAAATACATATAAAAAATCTGAATTCTATATTTATAAATAAAGTTTTTGACGAACATTTTTTCTGTTGGATAAGGAGGATTCCGAGAACTCTCTGGGCGTCCGTAGAGCCCGTAGAGGATACCGGGGATGTTATCCGTGTCACTCTGCCTAAGGCCCGGTTGACTGAACCAACGAGGACTCTCCTGCAAGAAGAGGGGGAGATCCGACGCGGTAAGGCTTTCATACGATTTGCGGGGAGTCGTCAGGGGGAGGTCGTAGTTGGGGAAGCCCGAATATTCCTTTCGAAGGAGGGTTTTGTTGAGATAGCGCGTAGCTTGCGCCTTGGACAGGACCTTCTTTGGGACGCTCGAGCCATGAGAGGCCGGCTAGGGGAGTAAGTAGAGGAGTTGGGACCTCACGAAGGGTGCAACGAGGAATATCTAGTGACCTACGGGGGTTGGGAAGAAACACCGCGGTTCATCTCCAGCGAGCCGGTGGAGATCCCCCGTTTCATTTTTAAGCGGGTTTACCCCTCCGAGGCTGTTAAGAAGACGGTACGACGGAGGGTTTCCATCCTAAGTCAGTTCAGGTTCACGGGATCAGACCTACACACCTCGTTAACTTGGTGTTTTCGAGATCCCTATAGAGACGATTGGGCGACTCTGGAGGACCTGAGCTACACATTTGAAGGAAAGGGTCGCCACGCGAGGGTATCTAAGATATCGTGGAGGTACCTAGGTGAGATCTGCAAGGGAGAGCTAGCGGGGCTGGACCCCTCTGATTTGATTCGGGTAGCAATTGCGTGTCGTCGACGAAAGTTAAGGGATGACCGAGCCGGACCTTGAGGAGCTAGAGGGGTTGGAAAGAGTGAGGGAAAAAGTTCACCGGATCCTTGCTCTATGCTGGGAAGAAGAGAGGAGGGCTAGGCATGGTCCTTAGCCAGGATCAAGCTACTTGAGGTGACCACAATCGCTATCCTCGACGAGGTGACGGTAGACCTTCTCTCGCGGTGAGGGGATGAGAGCCACGTTCGTCTCCAATAGGATTCGTTGGGAGTTAGAGACCTACGAGGACGGAAGCGAGGTTAGGGTCGAAGGGGGTGCGGAGCTTAACCTGGCATTGGAGGAGGACCGGGTAGTCCGCGCCGAGACGGAGTTTCTAGTGGAGGTCCGACGGCTAGCTTTGTGGAAAAGAAGGAACAAGACCACGCAAGCTACCTTCTCGGTCTACATTAGAGACGCGAGTGGCGTGAGATTTTCAAGGATTTGGGGGGATCCTTTGTTGGAAAGAAAGTTCGAGGAGGACTCAAGGTTTCTGGGAACGCCACTGACGTTTAGGACACACCTTGTGGAGACCCGATTTTGGGATAGAACGGGGGAGTACGAGGAGGCTCTGCGCCGAACTCTGCAAGGGGGCGAAGGGGCCGGTCACGCCGAGTGCGAAGACTCGTTGCTCGAGGCCGCCACAAGATTGGCAGGGGTAAGGTGAAGCTCCTATGATTAGATACGAAAGGGGGGACCCTTACGGTACCATAGAAAGGGTTTGGACGTGGGGAGGGAGATATGGAGTGACACTCCCTAGAATTAGAGGAGAAGGAGAGGTGACTACCGAGTTCTTCGAGATTTACGAGCAAGAGACGGTGGTCAGATTCTCAGTAGCATCAGAGGGGAACAACTCCACTAGAAAGGCGGAAATCTTCTTGTCCCCTGACGCCCGGCTGATCTTCGCAACTGAATTAGCGGAAGGGAAAGATCCTCTAGGCATTGCCGAAAGAGCCCTAGAACGAGTGCAGAGATTGAGAAGAGTTGGCATCGGGGACCCCGTGAACGACAAAGTAGAGTACCGAGGGAGGACGGAAGTTCCAAGGGCAGCCCACGGGAGAACTTGGACCATCCCTACCTGGGCCTATCGACTACTCTATGCTGACGACGAGACCATGAGGAGAGTCCGATTGAGGGGTCAAGTGATAGAAAAATTTCCGCTGGGAGAAGAAGGAGGTCACGAGCTATTCACCCAGTGCTGGGAGTCGAGGGAAGACATCGACTTCGAGTGGTGGGCCCGCGTCGGGGAGTTCATCAAGCCCCTGTTCTCCGGGCAAGCTGGTGATGTGGATAGGGATCTGATTAGAAGGTGTGCGCAAGAGGGGATTAGGGGTATCTCGGACCTTGAGATAGCAAATCTTGCTTTGACCGCTAGCGAGGAGAAGAATCTGCGGGATTCTTGGTGGACGGTGACCAGCGAGGAATCGGAGGGAGAAGGTGCTGACGAGGATTCTAGTGAGGAGAAGGGGGGATCGGAGGAAGAAAAGAGCTCGGGAAGTAACGGGGACAGTAGTAGTAACACAGACGATAGTGAGGGGAGCGGCTAGAAATAGCCAATAAGGGTGCATGGAGAGTGAGGTAGGGGCAGGTCTCCCTAGTCCGCCGGAAAACACTGAAAGAAGAGGGATAGTGAAGAGCCCCGAATTGGGGGCCAGTCTAAGCAGGGTAGTGGAAGAAATGACAGAGGCGGCGGAGGCGCTAGATAAGGTCGAGGGGGGTCCGGAAATGGCTTCGGGGGAAAGGTAGGCCTCGGAAGGGCAAAGGGCTGGCACGGAAGTACGAGTGCATAGGGATGTGGGGCCGTGGGCGCCGATAAACGAAGGGGTAGCGGAAGCCGCGAGAGGCGTCCCGGTGGAGTCCCGGTGGGCTGACCTATTGGATGCGGAAGCAAGGTTGGAGGGAACACGGGATTTTCACAGAGATAGACAGGGGTATGGACCACTTAGGGGGGAGGAAGAGGAGTGTCGGGACAGGAGAGACTTGCGAGGGGGGGGGTCAGCCGAGGCCGACGACCGGCCGCGAAGATGGGTCGATAGGATTCTGGAGGGCGTCACCGGTGAGAGACAAGCCTTAGTGGGACCAAGAACTGCACAGAAAGGCGAATGCCTGCGCGGGAAGGGACGATCGAGGGCTCGAGAGGCCTCCCTATAGAATCTCGGTGGGGGGATTTGTCGGGCGCAAGAATGGGAGGAGCCCTGGAATTTCCAAGAGATAGGGGAGGGTGCCGACCACTCCAAAGAGAAGAGGAAGGGGGACCAAGTAGAAAGGGTCTTCGAGAAGAAAGGCCGGCGGAGGCTGGTAGTAGGTCGCGTAGATGGGCCGTGAGTGAAGCAGATGTGGCTTGGGCACCTGGCGAGATAACGGGCAGGAGCCAAGGGATGGAGGCCCGGAGGAGTTTTAGAGGGCAGGGGCTGCTACGGGGAAGACCCCTGGGAGCCATCAAGACCTCGAGGCCGCGTAGAGGAGCCCAATCCCTCGTGGTACAAGCCATACGATCCGGCAACCGATAGACCTATGGAAGGTCCCTATTTTTGCCGATATGACGACCGACGGGTGCCCTATTATGACGTCAACCTGGGTCTGGAGGCGCTTTTTTTCGGTGGACGAGATGTGACAGGGTTCGTGGAGAAATGGCAAAGCTACGCTTACCGCAAGAGATTCTCCGAGAGGGAGTGGATCGATTATTTCATCCAGCACTCAGACCCCGAGTTAGACACCGCGATCCGAGCTATCTACCCTTCAAACGGACGATGGAGAACCTTCAGGGCGAACCTATTGTAGACTTTCGTCTGTGATGACCTGATCCCGACCGTGGAGGGCTTGAGATGTATTACAAGGGGGGAAAGGGAGAGCTTGGTAGCCTTTACCCGTAGGTTCAAGCGTCTGTCCCAAGCCCTAGTGGATAGGGGTATGCAGTCCGAGGTAGACAGACGCGTAATGTTCATCCTGCATCTGCCCGAAGAAAAGAGGAAGGAGGTCCTTCAGAAGGCCCCGAGGGATTGTGCAAATTTTGAGAAAGTTGCCGAAGTGGTTTTCACAGGGGGAGGGGTAGACGTAAGAGAATACATGAAAGAGACCTTGGACATGGCTCTCCGCAACATGCGAGGGACACGGAATGATGGTCCGAGGGGGAGCGATAGACCGCCACCTGGTCCCCCTGTTCCCCGGTGGGGTGAACGGCCGACCAGATGGAGAAACGAATCAAGTGGCCAAGGAGGTTGGAGGAACGACCGGGAGATGGGAGGGAATCGTGGTTCCGATTGGGGGAGTTCTCATTGGAAGGATGCTAGGGATGGAAGGTGGGGAGACACCCCTCAAGCTAGGGCCCCTGGACCGCGACCGGAGGTTAGAGCGCCACCACCCCCGGCACCACCACCACTGGCTCCGCCTGCGCCCATAGCGACAACAACATAAGGGGGTCCGTGCCCCAACAATCCCCAAGCTCAGGTCGGGTGTATCTACCGCAACGAAGAAAACCACATCAAAAGGGACTGCCCTTATCTCACGGAGGCTTTGAGATTGGGAGTGGTCAAGTTGAATGAAAACAAGTGGGTTGTGTGGGGGGATAGTGGTGAGGCAGTCTGCTTTTACCCATCGATAAAGGTAAACGTGGACAAAAGGGTGGCTCTTCAGGAGGCTAGACTAGGAAAGAAACCGGAAGTCGGAAGCTCCTCCAACACTGCTCACATCCAAATAATGGAGTCACTGGGAGGGTTGTCCATTAGGGAACCCCAACTGTCAAGCGTCAAGTTCATAGATGCCCAGCCCGAGGAAGAGAGGCCCTGCCTAAGGGTGAGGACGCAGGTCGGGGCAGAGACATCCGAGAACCAAGCAAGCGTGACGGAAGTGCGGAAGTAAAAAACGGCGACAATGACTAGCCAATGACTGATGCGAAAACGGTGGAGGAAAAGAAGGAAGAGCCCACCTCGCCAAAATCACCTAAGAAAAGGGGCCCCAAGAAGTTCGAAATGAAGTGCACTCTAGATGAGATTGATACGGTGGCACCCCTTAGAAGAACCCTGATGCTGCCTATGCAATGCACACTCTTGGAATATCTAGCCGCAAGCAAGAGCGCCAGGGAGGAGCTCCTAAGCATCACAAAAAATGTTAGAGTCCCTATTGTTGGGGGACCCACGGTGCCGGTGGAAGCCCCAGTCAAGGAAGAAGTGCAGGCCTCCCGCATTACCCCGAAGGAACTACCTGCCAACTTCTTCTCGGGGGAAGAGGCCAAGAAGTTATATGTGCTAGGTAGCGGCCAGCTCCAGGCGGTAGTAAGTGGGAAAAAGATGAGGGCTCTAGTAGACAATGGGTCCGAGTCTACAGTATGTAGGGACTCTATCGCGCGAGAGATGGGCTTGGAGATAGATCGAGGGGTATCAATGTTGATGGTGGTGGCAGACAATAAGCTGCAACCGGCGGAAGGGGTGTGTCATACTCCCGTATTTGAGGTAGCTGGTGTGGAGGCCACGGTACCGATCTTTTCGGTAAAGGAATACTCCTCCGAATTCATCCTCGGGAGGACCTGGCTGAGCGCGGTACACGCGACCACGGTTGATTTGCCAGATGGAAGTCAAACCCTCTCGATCCAAAGTCCTGATGGAATCCGAGTGGTCCTAAAGACCGTAGACGGACAAGATGAACGTAACCGGACCAGCCTTGCTAGACGCAAGGGGGGCCAGTCGAGGGTGTGCCGAGTCCGTTTGGAGGAAGTGCCCTTGATGGATAGGAGACCCAAGGGGGACCAATTGGAGGTCGAGGATGTGGGGGATAGGATTGTAATTAACGGTATGGGGTACGAGAAGGAGGAAGAGGAAGAGGAGTTCGGTGGATGCGTGAGTATGTCTTTTTTGGAGGGATTCCCCTAGCCGGCGGAATTAAGAAGCACAAAACTGTGGCGGAGAAGGTAAAACCCGCCGCAGTCAGCCGGGATAGAACGGGGGAGGCTACGATATCGGAAGAGGAGAGAGCCGATATCATCCGGAAGAGGAAAGAGACGAAAGGGCAAAGGATAACGGCCGATAGACTAGCCAAAATGGATATAGGAGATGGGAACCTCACGGAGGAAGAAAAAGGGTTTATAGCGATGACCTTAAGGGGTTGCGATAAGGTCATTGCCTTTGATGACTCGGAGAGGGGGAGAATCGACCCAAGGTATGCTGAGCCAGCCCGGATCCACACGGTCCCACACGTGCCCTCGAAAGACAGGCCTCAGTGGAAGTACGCTCCAAAGGACAAAGAAGAGATAGTGACCTTCATCAAGGAAAAGATCAGGACATTCGTCGCTGAGCTTTGCGAGAGTGCCTACTCCAATAAGTGGTTCTTTCTAAGGAAAGGGGGTAGCAACAAACTGAGATGGATCCAAAACCTCCAAAGGACCAATGCGGTCACCATAAGAGATGTGGGGTCTATACCTGAGGTCGACTTGCTAGCGGAAGGATCGGCGGGTCGCTCAATATACTCTATCTGCGACCTCTTCTCGGGGTATGACGAGATTCCCTTAGATTACTGGGACAGGCACATGACCGCCATGCATACACCCTTAGGGCTGGTTCAAATGATGGTGGTTCCGATGGGTTGGACGAATGGGGTAGCAGTATTCCAGAGGGTCATGATCGCGGTCCTTAAGGAGTTCATACCAGAGAAGGTAGAGGTCTTCCTGGATGACTTCCCGATAAAAGGGCCGGTCGAGAGGGATGAGACCGAGGTTTTCCCGGGGGTTAGAAAGTTTGTGGCCGACCACATGAAAGATGTCAGAGACGTCCTTGAGAAATTAGATGATGCCAACCTTACGGTAAGTGGAACTAAGAGTCGTTGGGCTGTATCCTCCATCAAGATATTAGGGTTCATTTGCGATAAGAAGGAGCAGAGACCCGATCCCGAGAAATTAGTGAAGTTGATGACCTGGCCTTCGCCGCTCAGATCCATAACGGAGGTCCGGTATTTCTAGGGGTAGTGGGCTACTTGAGAATCTTCATAAAAGCCTATGGAGAGAAAGCAGAACCCCTTAGAAGACTCCTCAGAAAATCGGAAGGATGGGTTTGGGGAGAGGAACAAGCCGCGGCTATGGAAACTTTGAAGGGGGAGTTCCGCGAGGGTGGGGATATCCTAGGAGTCCCGTTCTTCGAGGACGAGGAGGGTTGCCCGTTCATTGTGTCCACGAACGTTGGGCCTCATTAAGTGGGAGGTCTCCTGTCGCAAAAGGATGAAGAGGGGAAAGAGAGACCGTTGCGATTCGAAAGTCGGTCCTTGAACCCTGCTGAGAGAAATTATAGCCAATTCAAAAAGGAGGTGTTAGGGGTACTGCACTGCCTAAAAGCTTTCCGTCACTACCTATACGGACGACGATTTCTCCTAAGGGTGGACCCGACCGCCGTGGCCGCTGTCTTCCAAAACGATTTCTCGCTGACCGATCCGACCATCGCACGCTGGATGATTCATATTAGGCTTTACGACTACAGGGTCGAGAGGATATCGGGGACCAAGAACCAGGTCGCGAACGGGTTGTCCCGGCTTCCCATTCGTGAGGAAGACTTGCCTAGGCTTAAGGAGGAAGAAGTGACGATGACCAAAGAAGAGATGATGAAAGTTTCCGCTAATAGGGCGCAAGTAGCTGGAAGCAGCCGAGGGGAAGAAGGGGGTCCAAGGACTTTTCTCACGAATCTCTACGACGGGAAGTACCGAGACATAGGACTGTACTTGGCCGGTAGGGAAACTGGGACTGAAAGAATCCTGCAAGAGGCGCTGGGGTATTGCCTGCAGGGAGGCCATCTCTTCAAAAGGCCTACCAAGTTTGCGATACCCATGAGGGTACTGTGCGATCCGGAGGAAAGAAGGGCGGTCATAGAGGAACTCCACGACGGGGTCGTTGCGGGTCATAGGGGGGTGAAGGGTACTTTCGATAAGGTCCGTAGGCTTTATTGGTGGGACGGACAATACACGGAAGTGGAACAGTACTGCTCTACGTGTGAGGACTGCCAGAAGAGGGCGACGGTTCGGTACAAAGAGCCCTTAGTCCCGTCGTTTCCCACGGTTCCAGGCGAGAAGGTCCATATAGACTTAGTGACCATGCCAAAAGGGGTCGGGGGTCTTCGGTATATAATAAATATCCGGGATGACCTCACCGGATTCGTAGAAGCAAAGGTCATTAAGAAAAAGACGGCGGAGGAGGTGAGTGAATTTCTCCTATAGTATATCGCGCGGTATGGGTGCATCGGGAGAATAGTCATGGATAGGGGCGCTGAGTTCTTAAGCCAGAAGGTAAAGGGGTTATTGGAAAAAGCAGGAATAAGGGCAGCCTATACGACCGCGTATCACCCCCAAAGCAATGCACCGGTGGAAAGGGGTCACCAGACGCTTATGGACGCTCTAGCGAAATGGTGCAAAGGCCGCCCTGAACAGTGGTCGAGATATTTGCGGCACGCTGTTTGGGCCGATAATATCACGGTCAAATCCAGTACAGGGTACCCTCCTTACACCCTTTGGTTTGGTAGGCATTGTCCCCTACCCATCGAATTCCACATTGACACTTGGACGAGTGTCTCATGGCGAACCAACATGTCTAGGAGTGAGCTGTTGGAGGCCAGGATACAGCAGATAGCCGAGAACTTGGATGCCGAGGTAACCACGACCAGTGAAAACATCGAGAGAGAGAGGGTGAAAGGGAAAGATAGGTGGGACAAGAATCTGTGGGTCCGAAAGGCACCGATAGGGGTTGACGACCTAGTGCTGATGTATAATTCGTCACTAGAAAAGACCTGGAGCCGAAAATTGGCGAACCGATGGATGGGACCGTATAAGGTCCTGAAGAGATTGGATGGGGGAGCTTACATGCTGGCAGAATTAGATGGGAGTAGGCTACGGGACCCTATCGCGGGGGCTCGTCTCAAAATCTTCCGATCAAGAGGGACCCTTGGGGAGGGGCCTAAGCGGAAAGAGAAGGAAGCCATTGGCACAGAGGTGACCATAACCTGCGAAAGAGGGGAGACCTCCAAACAAGAAGCCCCTTCTCGTCCCCTGAGGAAAAGGTACCAGCTTCGGAAACCTGCCCTTCCAAAGACCCCTAGGAAAAAGAAACGACCTAAAGAGGATGACGGTGACGCGTACCGGTTAGAAAAACAAAGGCTAAGAGAAAGGAGGAAAGCCTCAAGAAAAGCTTTGAGAACCAGACGGAAGAGAGAAGAGAGGAAACGAAAGAGAGAGAGACACGAAAAGAGGATGAGGAGACGAGGACGGGCATAGGGTCGCTTGGGGAATATTGTACCATAGTTAGGAAAACATGTTCCGAGAAGGGAAATTGTACCATGGTAGGGAAGCGAGAATGTGCCTTAGTTAGTGCGACAGGGGTCGTAAGGGGCCTATGGATCCAAAATGGAGGAATGTATTGTGGGTCGTGTATCATAGTTAAAAGGTGGGGATAAAGGGAAGGACGACAACGTGACTAGACAATGGGGGGGGTTAATTGAACCAAGGAAACGGGATGAAACGAGAAATACACTTCAAAGATAAACATGGGGTATGGGCACCGGTAGAAAGAAAGGGTCGTGAGAGAAGCTCGCCAGGGACGGCGAAAATTGGGGTGTGGGCTGGTTGTCGGGCGGCTGTCTACCAGCCGAAGGTTTTTCTTTGAAATAAATACCATTTTTTTTCCCTTTTTTTGCTGATTTTGCTTGGTTTTGACGTATGCGTGCGTGTGGGCATGGGGGTTGTGGATGGACTCGGGCATCCGGGTCCTCGTACTAACCCTTTGACTGGTTGGAGTAACGGATTGAACCTTGGTCTCAAGCGGGCTCAGGCAGATCCTGAAGGATTGAAGTTTCGGCATCAAAGACAGAAAGTACGGAGCAGAAGGCGCTCGTCGGAGTGGACCTGGGCCGGATCAAAAGCCGAGGGCGAGTGAGAAGCCGGGGCCACGGGTCTGAAAGATTACCAAACTACCGCAAGGGTATGCAGCAGGGTCAGCTCGCCTCCGGCCCAGGGTGCGATACGAGGAGAGACCGCAATCTTCTTCACTCGGTTCGATTTGAAATCCAGAATCAACTGCCACTCGAGGGAGGGGGGGGGTTCGGAATTAAAAGCCGAGGGCTTCTTCGACCTAGCCAAGGGTCCGGAGCAGAGACCGGGATAGAAGGGCGCACTGACCAAAGCCTGGGCGTTTCGGGGGTGACGATCGGAGGGTGATGGGTGGTGGAACAGGGTTTCGAATGAGAAGGGGGAAAGGACGGAGGGATAAACGAGGAAACTAGAATTCGTGAGCGAAGACGTGATTGGTGGAAACAACTATGGGGGGAGGAAACCGAGACGCTGGGGGTGGATCCCGTCGGGCTGGATAACTGTCGGGGACGCCGGCCTTTACACGAGCCCAACTCAAAAATGAGCCAGCTCTGGGCTCAGGTGCGAGGGCTTCCTCCGGGGGCCAGGTGAACCGGCGCCGTGTTGGCAGAATAGAAGTGGAGGAGGGTCAGGGGGAGTGCTTGAGTGCGTGGGAGGAAGAGAGACCACCAACGGTCAGGACAAGGAAAGAGCGATGGGCACGGGGAGATCCTTGAATGATCTACCATTGATCTTCCAAATGCGAGTGCTGGCAGCAGCAGTGAACCCATCGTGACCCTGACCTGGCGAGAATGCGGTGGGACCAGCTTGACCGAAGACGAGCGAGTGTTGCAAAGTGAGTGCCAGAGATCGTCCGAAAAGGGAAAAGAGAGGCGAAGAATCGGGGGAAGGGGGGGACCCACCGATCAGCACAGGAAGAAGCGGCTCGGCATGGATTTTAGAAGCAGGCACGCGGCTTAGATATGAGGAAAGATGCATGCACCAAGAACGAGGGGGCCAACGGGAGACGAAGCGCCACGTGAGGATTTAAAAAAAAAAAAAACGTTGAAAGGGGGTCCGGGAACTGGTCGGGCAGTTAGGAAATAATCTTGAAGAAGGGAGACGGGAAAATGCCCCGCTCCTCGCCAATCCTCGAAAAGAGACCAAGAAAGGATGTGATTGGGGGATGGGTTAGCATGAGGGATTGAGGAAAGAAAGAGGGAAGGTGCAGCGGGACCGAAGGACGAGAATATCTAATTCGCGGAGCTTCGAGAGCGGGGAACCACGAACTGTAGCAATGCAGGCAACCTTCAACAGGGAATGGAGGGAAGAAGGGAAGATGAAAATTTCAAAAAAAAAGAAGAATTTGGCGGGAAGAGCCGAAATTTTCGACCACAGGACCTCCAAGGTGAGAACTAGGAAAGCGATTGGTAAGGAAGTAAGGGGTGGTGAATCGATATCGAGAGGAAGGTTCGGAAATCAAGTATATAAGAGGGAGGCAACGTGCGAAAAAGGAGAGGCGCACGAGGAAGACCGCACGCACGAGCGCACTCGCACCCGGCGACGGGCTGCACGCACGAACACAACCGCGGGCTGACGCAGGAGAGACGGGAGCGGGCGCCAGGGTATCTGCGACACTCTACAGCGCACGCGAGCAAGAGAAAGAGAGAGAGAGGGAGGGAGAGAAATGGAGAGAGAGGGAGAGAAAGAGAGAGAGAGGGAGAGAGAGAGGGAGAGAGAGAGAGAAAGGGACAGAGCGAGAGAGGCAGGAGCAAGGAGGGACTTTTATTAGGAAGCTTGGGGCAGGTGTTCGAGGAGCAATTCTGTGTCATTCGAAGAGCAATGCGGGGCTAGATTTCGAGGTGACCTGTTTTCTGTCTCGATTCGAACTCTTATTAGGAAGCTTGTCTCGGTCGCGAGAACGAGCTGACCACAGGCATCTTTTTTTTTTTTTTTTTTT